TAGTGTAAATCGGTTTTATAGTGTAAATCAGTTTCCTCCCTGTTTTTTGTTATTTTTTCTCCAATAAAATCTGCTTCATATAACACGACATATGTCGGATTTTTATTCACTGCTAAGGAATTTCTAAAATTGCAAAAGCTATTTTTTCTAAACGTTTCTACTGAAACTTAATATTGCACTCTTAATGTGATTTATTTCTCAATATAAAATCATTATATCATTTATGCAAATATTAGTTTCCCCGTACTTTTAGAGTTGTAATATACTCGTATAAGAAACACAGCAACATTCAACAGGTCGTTGTGGCGAACATAGTATACTAGAGTAGTAGAAAAGCCAATGTTATCGGTCAGAAAAAGCGCTGAGCAAAGATCAAGGTCGCTCCTCTGATAAGCTCTTCTCAATGAAGGAATATGAGTGATCGCGAAAATAAAAATACTTATCATAAGAAAAACTAGCAGTGCCACAACAGCACAAACTTTCTAGACATTTCCGTCACTTGTGAAGGATACATACGTAATCTACACGCATACATACGCTCACGTAAGATGTTTTCTTTGAATTTCTCCTGATGCATCACCGACTTACGTTGATCTCAATGCTAGCATTGCCGCTGTCTCTGCACAGACTCGGATCGGGTGGTTCGAAGTTTCGAATTCGATCAGGGCCGGATATTCGACATTAGAAGTATTCCAGCGGCCGGGAGCTCTGATATTTGGTTTTCCGTGATTCTTGTAATAAATACCAATAAATACCATTTTGGTCGACAAAAGAACTCGGATTTGTATGCAAATGATTACTACCTTTTTGCAAATGGTTTCTTAGAAAATTATCACATTTCTTTAGTAACCAGCCCATTTGGAGCTTTCCTGTGTGGTGTCATTTGGGTGTAATCGAACACAGACGAGAGAGGTATGTAAAACAGTATATTTATTAACAATCTAGACCGTAGTCTCAATTTAACAACTACCCTGCTCACAATAAACTAAATAAATAGATCCACTACAAAGAGAGATAATTTAAGAACGGCTACCACACCGCAACATACCACCGATGTTTCCTGTATGAAGCCGCTCTACTTTGAGACCATCTACGCGTCTCGCAAGTCACGACAATGAATTGCCGGCCCCTCGCCCTAGTGCGCCTACACGCACAGACACGCGCTTGACCTGTCGCCGACGCCGCTAGAACAAGAAGACTGGGACATTGTTCTCCTGGCTTTATATTGGCCCTTTTGGCGCTACCCGCCACCCCCATTGCCTCCTCCTCAAAGCCGCTCTGGGCCCGCTACGTCCAAGAAAAGTCCCAGTGCGTCATCACTCCGCCCTTTGTTTAATATTAGGCAATGTTCGCCGATTTCCACGTGGTTGTCTGTTTTGAGCGTGGCACGACACCTGCCAAATTGTATTTTCCAGGTTTTTGCATATTTTCGCATATCTGAAGGTAACTGCATATTTCTGCGCTTTCAGTGAAATTTTTGAAACAATAAGAAAATCTTGGTGATTAATTTAAGTATTAGTTAATTATTAGCTAATTTTAAAAAAGTATTAAAGCAACCTTTTTGAAACTAATTAATTATAGTTATCACGGGTCATAAAACACGTGTCATCTTTATTAAACACTTCATCATGGTTTGTGTGAAAACGAACTTTACGAACATGCACGGCTTCAATCACTTTTTCTTCCATCTTCAGCAGAGTCACGGCGAACCTGCGGCGGAAACTGCCCGCAAGACACTGCGCTCCGCAGGGTTACCACGCGCAAACGCGGCGACACGTCTCCCTGCGCTCTAACGTGCGAGGGGCCGACAAGCATAGTAGTTCACAGAAACTCACCGTGACTCACCCTGAGTCACGTCTCGGACCTGCGTCTCATTTTGCGGCTAGCCTTAAAGATGGCGCGTCCGGGCCATTTCGTCACCCGGCGCCAGTAATCCGTGAAATGTTAATCACAGCCCCATCCCTAACGTCCCTTGTCGCCTATTTGATTGCTCGTACTCTTCCGGGTGTTGTAATACTTTTTTCCAGAGTATTATTCATTAGTTTACATTTGTATTGTATAATATTTAAAAAGAGACTGAATATGCCTGTAATAAGTAATGTATTCCAACTTCCGGGTCAGTGACCCCCATTACGATCAGCTTTTTGTCCAGTTTCCCTGATCCATTGAGCAACTGCTGAGATGGCCCCCTGTGTTGGTTCTGGACATAATTGTAGCTTCACTGTGCGCACGTTTTGTTGAGCTCTATTTTTTGCTTGTGTTGGTAGGAATACAGCCGGGAGTGTGTTACTATTTACTTGTTAGCAAAAAAAAAAAAAAATCATATCTTCGTTTACCGATGCAAGTAAGTTTTCTATAACTCGGCGAAAATGTCTACTATTTCAAATGTTGCTAATCTCGCTCTTTTTTAATTTTATTATTGTTGTTATTATTATTATTAATATTATTATTAATATTATTATTAATATTATTATTAATATTATTATTAATATTATTATTATTCCTCTACATGACGACTAAAGGTGTTATGAGTCGGTTGAATATAAAATCTACACCAAGTTACTACCAGCTACCTAAGGAGCAGTTCTAGTAACTGTCAGTGCCTCTACAATACTTTGCGCAAAATGTGGACCGTTCCAAATAAAGCAATTCTTACACTTACCAGATTTGTGAATGACCTGTGTGTTTAGCCAAGTTCTTACACAAATTTTGCAGTCTATTATTTGTTTCATTTTTAAAATTTGTAATTATATTTAAAGTAGTTATAGTTAAAATGTTGGGAAAGGGTTTTGGAGCTCAAGAAAACGTGCGCAGATGATACATCTCCCATATGTCATATATAAACTAAATCAAGTGCAATCTGTGTGACGTTTCGTGAGCTTCGGGATATCTCTCCTAACTCATATACATATCTGTTGTATAATGAATTCAGGTAGCAGTGAGAGTTTTTGCAAAGAATTGATATGATAATATTCGCTCCCATGTAATAAAGACTTATTTGCAACATAGTATTTTCTCTTTTGATACTCATTAGTGACAAACTGTATAAACACAGTTATGCAGCACAAAAAATTTACTCTACACTTCTGTATCGATTTTAATCGTGTAATGTTGTTTGGCAATGGGTTGTAAAATAATGTGCATCTATTGGATGAGAAATTTTTTGTAGCGATCTGGTGTTACTTACAGCTGATTAATATTACTATGTCGAATGGTACAGTTACAGAAATCTATATTCGCTGAAAATATAATCCCACCGTTGAGTTAGCCATTTTTGACAAAAAACACTGATTTATGAAACAAGAGACAAGGCGATGGTGGAGTTCGTAGGCTCACGAATGTCACGTAGGTGGAATTTGCTTATTATTCGTACAATTATTTTCAGTAGTCTAAAAATCTAGAAGATAAAGAGCGTGTTTCCTCAAAATATAAAGCCAAATCTCAAGCGGGAATGAACATTCACCAAATATACAGAACCAGCTGTCTGAATATTGTCAGACAGAATCAATTTGAGGTGTGACTGCATGGAGAGACCCAAAAGTTTTGTAACTTTAACATCAATCAATGGCACATCTTTCATACTCATTGGGGAGTGCAATGGTTTATTGGAAATTGAAAAATTCATTAAAACCATTTGCCAATCTTTACTATTAATTTGTTATTACGGAACTAATTTGAAACATCTGATATTATATTATTTGTTGTATATGGCAAAGAATATTCGTATCATCAGCTACGAGAACTGTTCATCCTGTTAGAATCGACGCAAGTATATCATTAACTTATATTTGGAAGAGATTATGATCTAAAATAAAACCCTGCCGGACACCACGCGCAATTGGCAATGAATTGGAAAGGTAAAATAATGTCCCGTAATTCCAGTACGGTATTTCTACTCTCTGAGATCATTATTTAAAATGTTATGATCAACGATGTCAGATGCTTTTGCAAGATCTAAAAGCATTCCAATTTTGTGTTCCATTTTGATCCATCGATGGAGCTACATCTTTAGGAAACAAATATTCTGGTTCCGTAGATTTTAATTTTCTACATCCGTCTTGGCAATTCGCTTTATTTACTAGGAAATGTTTCCATTTGTACGTAGAAATGTATCTTTATTCATTCATTTTATCAATATTTTTTAGAAAGTTGAAAAAAGAAAAAAATTGCCCATAATTTTAATTTCATTTTTGTTGCCTTTTTTGAAGAGCAACTAAAATGTTTTTAAAATATCCGGAAATATTTCTGTACATAAGTATGCATTAAATACGCACTAGGCTTTAACAAAAAATCCGTAAATTCATCTAAAACGACGGAGTATTTTTGTTTTACAGTACAAATAAAAATAGAATGTAGTTGTCATTGGTGGGAAGGGGCGGCGTTGGTGCATACTGCGCGCTGTACCACGTGCTCTCAACACTAACAAGGCAAACAGAAGAAAGGAATGTTAAGAAACTCGTAACACGTTTGTGCGTAACATTTGTTTGCTCGTAACATTTGTTCTCGAATTTTAGGTGACAACAATGTGCAAATGTCGAAGCTTTTGATTCACTGTTCCCAGGTTACGACGCTGGCGTCATCAAGTGACCACGAAATGACAACTACATTCTATTTTTATTGTGACTTCAGTTTCCCGATTATTCTGAAAATATCATAGGAAGAAGTTTTGGAGTCAAACATAATGGCAAATATTTTTGGGGGAAACATCTGTTTTTGAATTTTGTGGCTTCAGATCCTTCGTGAGATGAGCCCCAATATCGAAAAATATTGGGTAAAGAGAGAAACCACTGTTGCTGGATCTGTGAAACAACTAGTTTGCTCGCTCTGTTCAGTTCCTGGATAAACTTTTATTGGACAACGATTGAACGTTATGCTGGAATACACGAATCATATATTATAATTGTTATACATTGTTCTAATCTTACTTGTTGTACCACATTATTACCGTTGAAGACAATGTTCGTTTGCATTGAAGTTAACTTTGTTTTTATGTGTTGCAGCGGGAATGGCAGACTGGCTTCTTGGGGTGCTATCCTCGGCTTCGTCATTATGATGGTCCTGGACGTCGGGCTGAGTTAGGTGGTCAACATTCAACAATCAGTGCATCGCACTATAAACTTTACGTTCCAGCATCTCGTCAAATTTTATCTTCTTTTCGGGCCTTTTCAAGTTTGCATCAGAAGAAAATGTAAACAACTCATCCAAATCCTTTTTACGCACATGTTAATTACGTTCCGGGAGTTGCTTTTGCTCCTGATAACTGGTAGTCTTCCACATTTTGTACTTAATGCACTATCTACATTAGTTAGGAATATTTTGTTATTTCGTTTCAATGTTTTGTTGTTTCATAGTAATGGCATTGTGGGGCATTATTCGTGTTTTCATTTGGTGTTTGTTGAATATTCAGGTGTGAATTATTGGCACATTGTATTGCTCACTGGGTGGTCGGTGTTTATGAATAACTAGTTTTTCAAATACTATTGTTGATATGTTTATGCATTTGGTTCTCGTATCCAAACCGTGCGGGTTTCTTTTATTGCGCAATTGAAACAGGAGCAAGCTAAATAGCTAAATTACTCCTTTCTAGAAGTTTCAAATATTAAAAAAAAATTTCTATGTATCATGCAAACATTATATAATGAGTGCAAATTATTAAAGGCTAGAAATATTTGTGATTTAGAATAATTTAAAGTATAGAATGATTTGGGATTTTCTGAAGAGTGTTTTGTGTACTGATTTTTGTATATTAAAACACTTCTCGGAATTTTTTGAGAATTCACATTTGTGTGTATTGCAGCCGCAAGCATTTCTCAGAGATTACAAGTAGGGTTCATTTTTTCTCAGGAACATGTTTTATTTTCTGGAAATTCGTGACCGGGGATTGCGAGATTCAAATGTTGCATAAACCAATGTCGCCAATAACCGTTCCTTTCGCATCGTTATTTTTTGAAGCTGCTTTGCCGGTATTGTGTCTTCGATTTCCCCTCCGAGAAATATCCGGTTATGAAAGACTTCTGAATTTAAAAATATCAAACTACATGTGAATCATGTATACCAGTAATTTCCAGATTGATCGTTATCGACCACCTAAGTTCGATTTAAACTTTCTTAAGGCTTAATGGTTTCAGTGAAGAAATTTAGAGAGACGGTGACACCTCAAGATAGAACATCTTCAACACTTCGTTAAAGTATTATTGTTAATATTATTATGATCATCATTTGTCTGTTTAACGTAATTTATGATTCCAGTTAATAAAAAGATTAAGATTCTTTCTATGTTCGCCCCAAAAGAAAGTGTAACACATTCTTACATTTACATTTTTTCCATGAAGCAACGCGCGACAATTATTTTCTGTACATGAATGCTCTCATTGAACAAAGCAAATAAAGTGCGAGAAAGAAAAAAAATTTTCATTTCTATAATTATAGTCCAAGACTAGCATTTTTCTACTTTTATTCATAATTCTGTTTCAATATGATCGTTTTCATTTCGTTTTATTTTTAATTGTTTTTGTTCTCTTGTTTTTAATGTTTGCTAGTGCAGGTTTCAGTAATCTGTTGCAAAGATTACTTCATTTGCCATGCAGTTTTCATCTCCAGTTGCTTATTAACAAGAGAATGAAATTAAAGTTTTGATATGTAGTGGTAATATTTAAATCGAGCACGGTGAAAATATGTCTTTGTGGGCAAGCTACATTACTGTGGGGGATTAACGGTTTTTATATTTTTCTCAAAAAGGTCTACAACCCCCAAATAAATTGGGAAAACCAGATGTAGATCATTCATAAATGTTCAACCTTTCGACGCAGTGGAGTCGCTTAAGAAAAACGTTTTCCCAAACTTAACACATGTGTTCTACGAGTCCTATTGATAACACATGTGTATGTGAAATTAGTTTTTCCGTTTTTAAAACTTTTCAATCGATATCGCATTGAAGAAGAAGAAAAATTTTACCCGTGCTAGAACTCTCACCCTCTTTTACGCACAACCGTATGAAGGAAGGAATCGTATCAAAACGTTTTTGAATAAAATTCGAAACGCTGCTTGCCCCAACATACAGGAGTATAGAATAGGAGTATCCAGGACAACCGAATCCCGCAGGTTCGTTTGTGTTTGGTGTTTTGTAGTAGTAGTAGTAGTAGTAGTAGTAGTAGTAGTAGTAGTAGTAGTAGTAGTAGTAGTAGTAGTTAGTATTGACATTAAATTCCCCCTCACGCGAACATGTTTCGAAACATGGCTGTTTTGGCCAATGTCGCATTCCTACTTCAAACTCGGTCGCGCGAGGAAAAAACCCTGCGAGTGGAGGCTTCTTTGATATCCATGGAAAATATTTCCATTCTACTCCGCAGCAGAAAACAGCAAAATGGCATTCAAGAATGAAATGATATTGAATTTGACTCGCTTCTTTGCTAAAAATGAATTTGTAGTTGTTCATCCCAAACAGGAGCAAAATGAACAGTAAAATCTATTAAAAATAACACAAATACGAAATATCTTTTTCAGGAAATAAGGCAAACAATGGCTCTAAAAAAAGTTGAGATTTCACTTGATTTATCTTTCGTCCAAAAACTGTAGAAATAGAATATGGCATGCGGAGGAAAAGTATAATCTGTGCCGTTTTCATTAGCTCCAAAGTATCGTCCCCATCTCTTTACTATATGTGAACGAGTGACAGGATCAACATGAAACAAATGATATACAAATTCGAGGTGAAATATTGAGGAGCAATAATTGGAAAACGAGGCGTAGGAAATTAGAGATCCGTAAGAAAACTTGTTTTATGCACCATTGTTTGTATGTCGATTGAATGGAATTTAAACCACCGTTCTATAGGTGTAAAGTTAGTTGTTTGACTGAGGTTACTGATCGCTGGCGTGGAAAAGAGTGGTGAATGGAAAAAGTAAACTACGTATTGATGTCAGTAAGACTGGAAGGCAACTGAATATCGCCACGAATCCCATCATTTCATACAAAACCATATTCGATGGTGATTTTTTGTTTGTTGAAGATGAGATCCGGAAGTTGCAAGAAGACTGGAACATGGACCTCAACCTCCAGTTTGAGTTGTATAACCTGTAATAAAGTATTACATGACATTTCCTAACAGATATGAACAAGTATCGTGGATTGCGGCCAATCGACGCTTTTTTTTCTTGCCCTTCTTTGTGGATGGCATTGTTTCAATCCCAATCCGTTGCTACTCTTTACCTTCGCGTTGTTATTTTATACATTTTATATGAGGAAATTGGTGATAAATTATTTCTATTATTACAAAGATGCGTTATTTTCATATTTACGAGAAAGACAACTTCCTGTGTATGTGCGATTTTGCCTCCCTGATTACATGAAATGGCCACGAAGTGAAATATCGAGCAGTCATGTTGAGAGGAAGAACAAAATAAAAATATAATTTGAAATACGTTGTTTTGGATACTTCCAGGGGGAATGAGCGAACTATGCTTGGTCTCTATCTTCGTGGCATTATCAAAGTATTATTTGAAGTTCTTGGAACAGTAATAAAGTATGCCACTCAGTCATAAGGCGTCTCTCGCTATTCGTAGACGTTAGTGTCTGATTTTGGTCGTGTCTTGTCTTGTTACTGCCACTAGCCCGGCATAAATATGAACAAGGCGTTAATTATAATTATATTAATATTTCCATATATCGAGACACTTCCTATCACTGATGTAACTTATTGTTTTTGTCCCAAGCTTTTCAATTGGGTCCAGTACAGCTTTCGACTGGACTTCATTACGGTGATGTTGGTTTACTCAATACGTTTTGCTCCACGAATATGTTTTGATTTATTAAGCCAAGTAGTTATCGCCTGGATAGTATTGAAGTATGAGTCCGTTTGAGGCCAATGGAACTAATTTCCAGAGACGTCAACTATCGATTTAAAAGGCAGATTATTTCAAATGGTCTTAATATTTTGTTCTTCATATTATTGTATTTTATTTTGTATGAAGTCCCCATTCATCACTGGAATATTTTTTTTTACATGTGGCGTAGAACTTGTGTTGCAAATCGAGATCATTTAATAATACGTTACATAAATTGTGTAATATGTGTATTGTTTTGCTACCTTCACCTCACCATTCATTTATTGTAATTGATGCAGTTCTAGGGGAAGATCAAAAATACTGACTCGTTTGTTTTTAATTAATGAATATGTTCTAAATACGTTCGTTGTCTCAACTTGCTATCCGTGTGAACATCGAATCAAGATCTTCCCCGATTGCATTCACCTCAGGACACAATATTATTTTTCTATTTTTTTACTTATCTTCACAACGTGTGGATAATATGGATAACGTAGAACAATAAAAGTAATAGGAATACTTGTGATAATACGGTTTCAAAACTTTTAATAGTAGCATTGCTGAAGATAGTTAATAGAAAACTTGAACTCGCATTTTATTTTTGCTTTACTTAACGGCAATTAATTTTCGTGTGTAAAATTCTTAATTATTTCTTTTCGGGTCGCTTAATTTATGTGTTCCATTTTGAAGGCTTCACTATTGCAAAATTGTTGAAACAATGTGGTTTTGGTTTATATTTATGAATCATAGCATTCGACGCAATTCGTTAAGTCAAAATCTTATTTTCAATATAACGTAAATACATTTTCGAATAAATAATAAATTGTCATACTTATCAGCTCTTAACTTTTTTTCTACTATAATATTATGTTGTAACCCCTTACAGTCTAGGATATTCTCATGTCGTAATTTGTGGTTATCTTAAAGTCAGAAAGTATCTTGAGCATTTCATTTCTGGGACACATAGGAATCCCAATGCACATTAGTAGCAGCGGATTTGGATGAAAATATTTTTTTTCCTTTTTACTTTAGAACGATGACGACTAGTATAGACATTAATTTTATGTTATGACAAAAGGAAATGACACATTTTTATGTGTTTGCTTTTTTGTCCATTTTGACTAATAGGGTACTTTTACATTTTAAGGCAATTTTTACTGCATTTTTCTCTGATTTCATTAACTTTAATATATTTTCAGTAGTGCTTGCTTCCAATAATATTTTCGAGATGCAACGTATGTTCTCCACAGAATTCCTGAGTAGCCTATTCAAGTTCTTCACTTATATATTGTAATGTCAGCCGGGATGAGCCCTACGTTATCTATGGTTGTAATGCCTTTCAGCGCCATTGTCGATTTCGCGTAATGGCAGAGATTTTCTGATGAACAGTCTAAACCAAACGTTTGCTAGCTAAGTTCCCTTGAACGAAAGGAAGAAGCCTCGATTACATCAGTAACATATCCAGCTGAGTGGTTCATCTGAACTGGTATTGATGACAATTTTTGCGTCATTGTTCTGCGCTTTTAGGACATTTTCAAATAATTTTTAAGTGCATTTTATTGTTCATTTCTAGCGATGTTTTAGGTCATCAAAATCCGCCCTCTTCTTCTTTTTTTGAGAAATCGTCAGCGACTATGAGACGGAAACATCTGCGATGAGGAAGATGACAAAGACGGGTTCTTAAAATGTGAATATACGATTCTTATCAAAAGATCGTGAAATTCTACTGAAAATCTTAAAAAGAGCAATTTTTTCTAGCGCATCCATTTCTTATGAAAGATGAGACTGTAAATACATAGAGTATGGGGTAATGAACATATTATTGTCAGCAATGAAATAGATTCATGTGTTGCAATAATAATAATAATAATATTTATTGAATCACATTTTTCAATTTCGATTGTGGATGACCAGTCTCAAAAGTCATAATTAAGTTTCTTCAAAGAAGAGTTATACTTACTCAGAATCTTTTCTTCAATTATTGTTTCATTTACGTAATATAGTTCAGATCATTAACCCTTGTTTAATTGTAAAACTGAATGGTCTGAAATTAATTGAAAGTTATTTTGAAATCAGAATATTGACAATGCACTTCATTGACAAAATGAGAGCATTGAAGAATTAAAATCATCACACAGATATCATTAGTTTAGATTTAAAAAGCTGCCTTTCTATAATATTTCAGAAAATCTTGTGTAAACTTTGTACAACATTATTGCAAGACTATATAGCTCTTATCTGAATGTCAAATGATATAAAATCAGATTTGCATCAGTATTCTAATCCTTATTGTTGCTAATTAATCATTGTCATTTTAGAAAAAGAATAGATAAATGAACAATTTCTTTAATTTTCATTCAAACCATGAATTGTATACAGCCATTCCAGTTTTTGAGTAATTTGTTTCAATATGCAATATTATGTTGTAAAGAAAGTATTGGTGTCTGAAATTATTTTCATGCAATGCTATATAATTTCACAATATATACATTTTTGTCGATAAATATGATTCCAAAGATACAAACTTGACAAATATTGCGATATAATTGATCTCAAGGCTCCTGAATTTGTTGATTATTCTTGAATAGAGTCTCCTATTTTTTTGTTGTATGTAAATGAAAAAAATTGTGTATAAATTAATAAAACTTACAGTATAGTTAGGTTTTTTCTGTGCATGTGAATTTATAGATTCATTGAGAAATTATTTTTCTGACTTGTTGCTCATAGTCATGTGTTTAAAAGTTTCTCTAAGTAAAGAATTTATTTTCACAATGATCTCCATGTAATTCAGTTTTTCTCAATTATATTTTATCAAGAAGCTGCCTCAAAAATATGTGAGCTTTACTAAGTTTCTCTTTTCCTAAGAGCAATTAAATATTGCTATTAGTTGGTATCATTTTTCTTATGCAGGGTTTTATATCTATATATATATATATATATATATATATATATATATATATATATATATATCCATTTATGGCATTTGCAGACAGCAAATACCATGCTTTTCAGTTCAGTATTATCATTTTACTACATTTTACTGTTGATGCTATCTGAGATTAAATATGTCTTCTTTGCAATCTAATTGCTGGTATTTAATTTATCACTATTTTAAGAAATAGTTTAGCAGTTAATTGTACATTAGCAGTCCTACATTTTGTATTTTAATATGCATTTCATGTATATTTGTAAGTAATAGATTTCTTATTGTATTTTGTGAAGATTTTATTATCCCAGTCTAATTAAGAATTTGTATTGT